CCTATGCAATGGAAATTAGGACCATTTATATTCTCCCCAAAGTAGAACTTCAATGTATCGTGTTTTGATATCTGTCATGTATCTCGTRCATTTTATGTAATATGCAGTCAGTCTGATCCCTCTGGAAACCATAATTATCCTTAGCGTTAAGGCAATGTTCTGATGTGACGTCATAATGATAGGGCAATTTACACTTTTTCATAGTATTTTTTAATATGACCAGCGCCTGATGCTGTACAAAAATAATGAGGAATCTAAGGGTAAATTCCCTCTGGTACCCAGGGTAAGCGCTTTTAGGTCAACCTATAGTTTGTGTATTTATCTGAACTTAAAAATATTGAAATTTAAAAAAAGGAAAGTAAAAAAAAATGAAAAAGTATATGAACGTATATATATCTTGCTGCATAAGCGGAGATGAGGGCAAGTATGGAACGGGCTATTATAGCMACTCAAAACACACAGCACTGTCACACTGACAGAGCAGTGGAATTTTATCTCTACGAACTTGCCATAGGGGACGTAGGGAGGGCAAAATTTCCGCGTTAGGCCGCGTTCAGGCAGCGCATAAAGACAATAGACTTCTGCAGCTTTTACGTCATGTACCGTATACGCAATACATTGTAGGACATGTTTGGGACAAAATATGGCGGATTTCTTTTGTTTTCTCTTGAAACTGATCCCACAATGCATTGAAAATCAAGTAGTGACGTAAAAGGTTCAGACGTCTATTGTATAGCACAAATTTGATGGTGACTACACATGCACACCCCAMTCAATGGGCGATGACCTTCTCGCGTGATCCAAACTAAATGCTTAAGTTATCGCGCAGTAGAAAAAAGACTTTATTAGTTGTGGGTTAGCTGTGCATGAATATTTTATTCAATCACATAAAAGGACTATAGCGTGTCCAGATATTTTCGACAGAGGTGGAATATAGGACTATTGTTTATTTAAACTGTTAACCTTGCCCTGCTAAAGTTTTAAGTTTAGTGTCAAAAACCCCAGCTTACCTAAGGGCATACTTTGTTTCGTGAAACGAGGTGGCGACAAACTCTGTAATTTGTGTTCTTTATCTTCGACAATTTTGCATATAGAGCTATGATGGTCTAAAAAAGAGTCCATATTCAATAAGGATAATGCTAATTCTCTGCAACTYGAYCGAGGGCAAATAATGGCTAAAACAACTTGTGTGGGGTCTCGAACTGACACCTTACCTTCATTAGGGTCAGTTTCTTATATTGAGCTACAGGTTGTACAGGTCAAATTTCATTGGAATACTTTTGTAATCAAATATAATACTTAAAAATTTCGACATTGCTTTCGCAAATGAGTCTGAGAATGATATACATGCAAATGACATTCCAATGATCTTTCCGAAATCTTGCTAATCGTCGCGCGCCCACAKCAGAAATGTGGTGATCACAAAGGGTCACTAGGAAACTAGTGATACCTAGAGCGGTTAAGATAATCTTGCAAATCGCCCTAAAGTGTTTTTTGCATTGTTTTAGTTTCCTCAAGGGCATTAGCTATAGTGCAGAACACATTTTTGGGCGATTGGAATGATTATATGGACACACTATACAATTGACTATAAAATATGATACTCGATCCATGGACACCTGCGACGACAGACCGTCTTGGATCGGTAAAAATGGGACACATATTTGGTCCAGAAGTCGGGATGCTGTAGAATTTCGGCTAAAAAACATATAACAKTTTCATAGCAAAAATCTTATTAGAACACGACAGCAAACTTTAATTATCAYATTTGATTAGTTTTCTGTGAAAGAGGAAGGAGCTTATGCAAACATCRCTTATGATTGGCTGTTTTCATTTATGCGACGTCACAAATAAAATWTAAACGAATATTTGAAGTATAATGGTTGCGATATAAGGGTTAGCACATTAATGACGATCTTTATCGTCTAAACGGACATTCTGCCATGACATCAATAAATTAMAGACAATGTAATTAACCAGGCAGAGGTTTAGCTGATAAGCTTTGATGATGTCGAGTAGTGAGGTATATTTTGTGCCCTCAGCTAATTTAATTCGGCAAATTGCAGCTAAGCTTATCTTCAATCCAAACATTTCGTGAACAAATGAGTTGGATATTTTTCAGTCTTCTATGTTGTGATAACGGTTTTCTGTCCAAGGGGCACGTTTTCTTTCTGCTTTCTCTGCATCTTGCAGCTCGACGTCGCGACGAAAGATATAATAGAGCCTTTAACTGCCTWTGGAATTGAYGTTTTTAAAAACGTGGRACTTAAAGAGTTCCCGATGTCATCATTGAAGCCCTGCGATGAACCCAGTTCCTGTTTTCGACATCTGCTTGCATCAAAAAATGACCGATCCTGACATCAGTCACATCAGATGTGTGGTAATCCTCAGTCCTTCTTTGCTTAGGTTTAAATCTGAAAAGTTATTTTATTACCTTGTAAACTCATGAGGCGTGGTCAGTTATTCAGCCTGCAATTAAATGTCACGCCTTGTAATAAAATTAGCACTGGACTTTTTAGCAGAAAATCCTTCAAATAGGATTCGACTGTTCTTAAAAAAAGTATAAAAAATTGCCTTTACGAGACAACTGCCTCTTTAGTAGTGCTCAATCCTTGTGTCTAACTTACCAGGATAAGGAAGTAAAGCTGTACAGTCTTTTATTAGTGGTTGTTTTCCATCCATACAACATGATACAGGGCATTTGCTAGAACATCAATTRCATCCCACGTTTTCTGTAAGTACCAAAACATATTATCTGATTGGCGCGCGTGTCTGGCCTTATGACTAAAATATTATTGTGATTTACAGAGACCTTTACGGTTTGGAATGTCTCAGCAAGATCAAAATACGGCTGATAATGGCTAAGCCTTTTGCTTTATGTCGCGTCAACAATAGCTAGATACTATTCGCTCGAATATCACTGTGCCTCATTCCCCTCCTTTCTTTCAACGTCACTTCGTATTTATTCCTCACGCAAGTCAACCGCGCTCCCTGCTGTTTTAAGCTGATTGTGTTAACCATTAACTGTTTTACAGCAACAATACAGAGTCGATACAATATCACCGTCGCAGTGTCGGGTGACGAGAGTCGTGTGGCCACAATATGGAGAAGTGTTTAAACTGTTTTCTTGTGGCATTTGCTGCTTTTTTMCTTGTTTTTACGAAAGGTAAGCTCTTCTTAGACGTATAGTAACCTTTATTCAATAAGTAGTCATCTGTTTGATTCAATTGAGCCAATCTTTCATTTMGWATATGTATTTACAGTGAATATTACACATGTATATCAATTTCCTGAGCCATGACCGCCATGCAGATTACTGGGTCGGCCTTTTCGAGTTATTTTTAGTGCATCRCAACAAGAACACTTGTTTGACCAACTCTTCGATTGTTTGTTTTAATATTTTTAAATCTTTAAAGATTCAGCTTAGTGTTGAGTACTTTTGATATGTTAGCAAGTATCTGGACGAGCTATAAGATCACTCCACAAGATGAAAGCTAATCGTTCAACGAACTTTAATCCTGGGGGATTTATTATTCTAAACAAGCGTTTTGTTGTTCCAGAGCTTAGCTGACTTTAGGCACGCACGTTATTGATAAAAACTATTCAATAAATTCACGGGACAACTAGATTGACTAAGGGGAGAACAAGCGATTTCCTAATCCTTGATTCRTCATTTTGTTACGAAATTATTGAAGACATTTATCATTAACTTAAGTTATTACCCAACATATTGGTTTAATTTTCACCTTCAAATTTCTTGTAAGTCCACTTTAAGCTGCGATAAATGTTCACAATCGAAGAATATTTAGTTCAAGGCCCTGAGGTGTAAACATGTGCTATCAGCCCTCTTGTAATGTTATCGAAGCATTCATCAAGCCTTTGATGGAAATCGTCATCACAAAATTGCAGGTTGTCAGCGAACTGATTCCAGCGCACGCACAATTCTTGATGACAWGCATAGTAATCTCCTAGAACGTAATATTTTAGCAAGACAATTAATAAAGTTAATTAATTGTATTGCTTTCAATTTACGATAATTTTAGGGGAATTCTTCAGTCATGAACATGATGGAATCCAAGATAAGGCAAAAATGTAGTATTATAAGGTGGTAATTGAGGTCACTTYATCAAGACAATTTTTAAATAACATAATTTTATTTTCAGTTATCAAATTATTATTTCTATGAATGGAGCCTTTCTTAAAACCAAGCAAAATAGCACTTTATTTTCTGAGGTTTGGCTGTTCGACAAGCCGGAAAGACCTACCAGGGTGTACAAGGAATTACTGAGAGGTGATCGTGACTATAAATCAAAGAGTTTGTAGACCGCTGAAATATATACTAGAGGCCAGTGAATCATTGAACGGCTTAATTAAAACAAAGCAATGGTGATGGATCTCATCAATTTTTATCGTTTTTGCCGTTATTGATTGTTTATAAAGTCTCTTAAAATTGTCTGTGTGAGGAAATGCAATCTTTTTACATGTCAGCGGACTCAGTCGAGTGTGTAAGATATATTTCGGAGAGAGATCGACGTGAAAAACCCCCTGAAAACTCTGACAAACAGCAAATCTCAGCGATTCATTTTTAATGTGGTTTATACATATCATTCTGACTTCTACTGTATGCACTTGGCGTGGGAGAGCTCTATTATATTTTAACGAACACGATCTCTGAGGTGTGGTTATAATTCGTAATTAAAAGGAAGTACATCGTAGGATGACTGGTTATATAACGAGTAGACACCCTTCCTTTAGGGTATCGTGAATAACATCTCGAGATTAAAAAGCAGCTCTCATAATAAAAAAGCCCAATTAAAGAGATAAATATCTATCTTGTAAGGCAGATATAACAGACGCTCCCRGCAACCCATGTAACCGATAATGGAGAATTCCACTAAAGATGTTGTAAAGATGTTTTCGTTTATAAGAACATGACAAAAATGTATGGAAATTTAAACACGAATTATTGGACACCACCCGTAACGACGAAATAAATATTTCCATTCATAAAAGATAATTGGATCACTGTAGGGCCAGTCATACCGAGAACATTAGGGGTTGGTCCCAGTAGTTGCATACCCACGAATAATAGGTTTACTCACACCTTAATTAATTCCATATATGGATCATGCATATSGAGTTGCATGCAAGAAATGTCMCTGCATTGCCTTTACTGATATTGTATTCCGAAGTTCTTTGATAGCTAAGAGGTAGTGAAAGTTCGAAGGTCTTCGGCGGTCATGCTGGGACATAAGGTTCCGAATCGCGCCATACTGTCGTCTCGTCTAATAGATCGTCCCATGACCCCGACAATATGTATTTTACAAAAAYCGGCATGAAAATGATTGACAGAAATGTCGTTATCAGTTAAATTTAATTCTCTTTGTTGTAATATGGACTACACCTGATTGCATAGTTGCTATTGATGTGACCCACTGCTTATCAATGTACTTTGAAATGTACCGCACAACAAGATAACTACAAACGAACTCCCACTGGCATAAGAATGTAAACAATTCTGAAAAGGAATTTCCATTTAAAAGACCCACGTGCATCCAAGAACCTTTGCGCGTCGATTTTCTAACATACAAAAGTTCGCCATCTTTGATTTTAAATCAATAGGAAAGCATCTTTCATTAAGAGATAATTTGTAAAATATAGGAAACTAAAGCAAAGCTTCCTGGATGCACGTTGGGGCTTTAAAAATTCTACTAGTTTCACAAATAATTCTTTCTTTAATGAAATTGTTATCGCTCTAATTCATGAACCATAAATCTTTAATTATACTACCATCATCWTTCTCAAAACTGGTCACTGTYAATAACCTGATAGCTATTTCAGAAKGATGTTTTTCACCGTATGATTTACGAGTGAAAACTCTTTAGTTCGATAGAGCTGTATCTATATATAAAATCTATATATAAATCAGAAGACAAGGCAACCGTTCTCTTTTTCTTCCTTTTGTTATAAGGTGTACACTCAGGGCGAGTTCCAAAAGCAGGGGTTTGCCCMAATCTTCCACCACCAAGCCATTGTAGCGATAAGTACGACTTTTGCAGTACTGATGCGGACTGCCGTCTCTCGAACTATAAATGCTGTTCTAATGGATGCAAGAAAATATGCGCTGTTGCTGTGCCAAACAGAATAACCCTGAAAACGAACGGTAAGCATCTTTTGATGCTCTAAGAAAACTTAAAAAATCATTAGTTATTTGATAATCCATCCATTCCACTGTCCCTAAACTCTCATGCAAACTTGCGTCTGTTTTTGGATAAAAATGCACCGGCCGAATTTGGCATTTACACGAAAAAAGCCTAAAAGCACTTACAGAAACCACTGTGATATTGATTTGTCGCCTTTTGCTCTTGTTGTAAGCCAATGGTGTGATTTCAGAGGTTCTTCATAATGTAGAGCTCTACATACATTAGCTCATTTCACAATCTACTGTGTATCTAGTTAATTACTCATAGATTTTTTTGGGGCGTCTAGAAACCGATGTGCGAGTACGACKTGGTGACTGCCCACCCCTTCCAATAAGGAAGTTCTGTTTTGATCACGAATCACATTATTGCTCCAACGACTTTGACTGCAATGAGTACTACAAGTGCTGTTCCAACGGTTGTACCAGAAAATGCGTCGTTTCAACATCGAAAATAGCTATAGGTAAGTCTACAGATGTTACCCGTGTATTTTCATCTTAGAATGTATTTTAATTGCCAGGGTGTCCAASATTGCCGCTTCTTCGTTCTGGTAAAAGATAACGACGTCAAATATAAGACTATTTGAGGTGGTATTTTAAGGTCGGTGTTATCTCATCTCATTTCATTTTATTTCAAAGAGAGTGGTTCAAAGAAGACACTGCAAGCTACTTGTCCTCAYTTCCCAACGAAGAGCAGCAACTGTCCAGTCGACGTATCGAACCAGTGCAGCGCCGATAATGATTGCAGTGATCAGGGAGACTCGTTCAAGTGTTGTTGGGATGGATGTCGAAAGATTTGCCTCGATCCCTCTGAAATACAGCAGACAGAAGGTAATACTCATTTATCATTTGCTGYTCACAGAAGAAGAGGTACCTGTACAGTACAGTACACTCGAGTCTTCTCCCTTTATATGACTCTTAACCACATTGATTAATTTTCACACTACGAATTACGTATAAGCACTTTTAAAATGGATGATGCACCACTCTGAAATACTTTTCACTAGATTGCATGTGATTGCATGTCATACATGTATTCAGAAGTCCACATCTCACAAATCTTGCACACAGGGCGAGGTTCGTGCCCAGTAATGCGCCGACAGACAACCTGCACTAGTTTCCAGCATGAGTGCATAGCTGATAAAGAGTGCAGCGAAGGGAAAAAGTGTTGCTCAGATGGTTGCACAAAGAAATGCGTTAATGCTAAAGATTCTACTTCAGCCGTAAAGAATGTAACTGGTATGGTACACATAGGTTCTGCATGTTGTAATGGCAYTAATAATATCTAATGATTCTGATGATAATCATTCTTTGAATGAGTGCATGGTAATATTTTACACTATATAGATATCATGAGTTATGAAAAGAATAACTACCCGTTCAACTAGTAAGCTGCCATGAGGTTTCTAATGAAACAGTTGTGTCAAAGGGCAAATARCTCATTTTCTATATTATGCACAAAAGAATTGAATACGAGGCTCCGGGGAAACAAGTTTCCCYAGAGACTCGTCTTCAATTTTGTTATGCGTCGTTTGTCAACCTAAATATATTGAATGTGGGCTATTAACACGGTTCATAATAAATATTTTATTRCAACTGCTTTTTGCTTTTTCGATATCAATGGCGCGCATTCTACAACGTCATGTCGGGCAAATTTTAAAATGAAACATTCTAGCAAATGAAAGTTAACTACCGTAGTAACATGAAGACATGCTTTTATTATTTGCCATGTAAGTGACTCAACGATTGAATATCAGGAGAACATAGTATTAACACGGAATATATATATTTTAAAAGAGGTCAATGGGATGATGTAAATTAAGTTTTGTCACATCTACGTCAAATATTGGCAAATTGCACTCTTTTCCCTTACGATATGAAGACTGTTTGACTATTTGGGCCRAAAATATTATCGTCTCAAAAATAAACGAGGCAYCTTTTGACAAGTTTTTCGGAAGTTCCCTGAAGAAAATGATAATTTATGTTATCGAAGATATCATATTTTGTAATTTGTGAATCAATAAGTAAAAGGTAAAGTTCTTGTTGATTTATTAAGACATCCCTGGGATCCGTGTCAGGTTTTCAGTTTTATTGCTTTCAAAGACCGTCTTTGTTATTGTTAATTTATTAGGCTTTAATTATTGCATCCTAAGTCACTATTAACCAATCATCCTAATATGCTGACTTTAATTGGCTATCTTCGTATTCCTTTAGCGACCCCTAATAAATTCCGTCTTGATGATAAGTGCCCATTTGTGCCGAGGCCTTTTCGTTGCCCTGCAAGCTCTCTTCACCAGTGCTATAGTAATGACGAGTGTCCCAAACCTTTGAAGTGTTGCTCTGATGGCTGCCGAAACATATGCCACGATGTAACTAAAGGTAGCGTATATAATGAACAGTTGATTTTGCATTCATTGCTTAACACTGTAAACCACTGCTAATAACATACTATGCCGTGCATACATTTACTAATTACCACATACGATGATTTGAATTACATTTTGTTTTTGCGCTAAATTACTTTGATTATTTGGTTGAGTTAACGAGACTGATTTTGGTTAAATCTGTCAATGCCACTGAAACTAGCCCAGTAAAATATACTSTTCTTCACAGTTCTCTGTTTCATGTTAAAWTGTAACCKTGATTTTACGTGATGCGARCTTTTTTCAAACCTATARAACAATTAATCACCGGAAACTCGTTGCAACTCGCCGGTCGTCTAGCCTCGGTGGAAAGGCCTGGCTACTTTTCAAGATGGCACAGGGAACCGAAAGAGCATATTAGTTATATTAGGGCACGATTAGGAGTAACCACTTGGCTTCCATTTTCATTCGACGCAGTAAAAGGCCTGACCTCTCAACTGAACCTCGGACATATCTTTAGATAGACTCTCTTTGCAAAATGAGAGCGGATTTCGTATGAGTGGGAAACGGCCGATGGTACTGTACTGTGACCGTAATCGTACTGTAACCAAATTCTAGTGCCCCATTGGTTCACCAAAATTGTGCAGGCCAGGTCCGGTAACTGTGCGGTAACCGTGCGGTGTCCCACTCATACGAAATCCGCTCTAGTTATTCGTATATGAATCTATATAGTCGCTTACTACGTCCAGGCTAGAGTAAGAAGCATACTTACAATTCAGTTTTAGGGAAGGCATGTATCTCATAAAGTAGTGCCCCGATATTTGACACAACCCGGCAGCACAACGTTTCCGATTGAAAAGCTCAGCATTATTTCGAATATAGTTTTTCCTTTTAGCCCAACAGCACTTTATATTCAGCACCGCTCATATAGAAAAAAATAATTGGTATTCAACTATATCCAATTTTTTTATAGATACGTCTCTCTTGTTTTGCCCCATTCCACTTCGCCCCGAGGTATGCCCCTCAGATGTCAATGACACGTGCAATTCCCTTGGGGACTGTGCCAGCGGTCAGAAATGTTGCCACGATGGATGTAATTTTAGATGCTTTGGAAAAAGTGGATTTCAGCCTGAAAAGCAAGGTAATCCTTCTTCGAAGCCCACTGTGTAGCTGTGTGTGAACGGAAAGAGTGTGGGGAACTGGGAGTGAGTGTGTCCCAAGGGGTTGGG